TTTAAATATTTTAGTTTATTTACTGTGTTGAAGATAAATTGAGGAAAATAAAAGTAAAATATCTGTCCATCTTAAAGTTCATTAATTGATTAACAATGATTTTAATACAGGCAATTTTTTTCCGCAAGAGTCATGTAATTTGATTGTATGTAACTAACTCTTTGTCATGGGTCATAATAAAGAATCTTGCTAGTATATACTTTGAGTTATCAGCTGTCTCCCATTTCTCTAACAACAATTTGTACTGTTGCTTCTAGTTGCATATGCGCTCAGCACAAGCAGAAGGCTTGCAGCCCCAAAAGGGGGTGGGGTGGAGAAAAGATGAAGTAGAATCAGACCACCAAGAGAGGAAGCAGATGGGTTGTGGGAGATGACCCTGCCCCCATGTCATTTTTGTTCTGGCTGCTACTGATCTATGTGAATCAGCAGCCAAGAAATTGGAGTTGGTGATCCTAAGATGAAAAATAAAGTTTGATCTTGACTCAGTAGAATTATAAATTTATTAGACTAAAACATGGTGCAGATTTTTTTTTCTTTTGGTTATTTTAAATATGTTTCCTTTGAAACATTTCAGAAAGTATTTTGTTCAAGATAAAACTTTAATTTTTCTAAATAATATGATACCTAGATTCTGAGATAAATATTACTCTTTTAGGTTTTCTTGTTCATGCAAGTTTTACAGTAAGTAAAATTTTAGTAGTGTTCAGGAATTAGTACAGGAGACTTAATACACGGTGGCTGTACCTCACATTTTTGGATCTTGTCTCTAGATTGCCAGAGTTTACTAGGATTTTCTCCTGTGCGTTATTTAACAATGAGTAGAAAGTAGTGTGTTTGCTAGAGAAATAAATCTTCCCAATGTATATATATTTTATGCTAAATATTCTCTCTTTTGTCAGTGCTTGTACTTGTCTTTTGTTTGGCTCATTTTCTTTTTTAAATATATTTTATTGATTTTTTACAGAGAGGAAGGGAGAGAGATAGAGAGTTAGAAACATCGATGGGAGAGAAACATCGATCAGCCGCCTCCTGCACATCTCCCACTGGGGATGTGCCCGCAACCCAGGTACATGCCCTTGACTGGAATCAAACCTGGGACCCCTCAGTCCGCAGGCCGATGCTCTATCCACTGAGCCAAACCAGTTTCGGCTGGCTCATTTTCTGAGGTCAAGATAAAGGAGACCTTCCTGTATGTTTCACCAAGTCTTCACTTTGTTCTGTGGGAGAATCTTATTTTTTACAAAATTATAAGAATGTTATCAAACATACACAAATGTAGAGAGAATAATAGTATAATGAATCTTTTATACCCAGTACTTAGCGTCAACATTTATCAATGTTTTTCCCACCCTTCTTTCATTTTCCCCTACTCCCAATTTTTATGAAAGAATTTTATTGTAATACAGTTTAATATTAGCATTTTTAAAGGACACATCCTGAAACTTTTGAAATTTCTAAATTAACAAGTATCACCATAGCATATAATTTACTCAATAAAAACATGTGGTAGCATATATATATAAAATCTTTAAGTGGTCTCTTCAAGCCCTTAATGATCCTATAAACATGGAACCCAATTTGTTACTAAGCTATTAAAATAAATTCTGAATGAAACACTCACTAAAATAGTTTTTTGAATTGCTTTTTCTTTCATTACAGGCAATGACAGGCACAATTGTGATCCAAGTCACTACAGAATTTGATACTCCTTTCTTTAATCTACTAAAAATGTATGTGTTCTAAAGAACATTACTTTTAAACTTCTTCATGCTTAGCACTAGGCTTGTATTGACTTTCTTTTGGGGGCCATTTTCCACAGCTTCTTTTAAAAAATCATTTTCCAGAATACTGGTTATATGCATTAAGTGCATACCAGGATTATAGACTCTAGCAGTTTAACTTCATGCTTCATTAGAAAAATCATGATATCATGTGATGGATCTTTATTGTCTCTTTGGGAGTAGTAACAAATGTGAATGTCAAATCTCTGAATCTCAGAAATCCTATATAATAAAAGACTAATATGCAAATTGACCCAACGGCAGAACGATCAGTCGCTATGTTGCACACTGACCACCAGGGGGCAGACGCTCAAATGCAGGAGCTGCCCCCTGGTGGTCAGTGCGCTCCCACAGGGAGAGTGCTGCTCAGCCAGAAGCCGGGCTCATGGTTGGCAAGCGCAGCGGTGGTGGCCGGAGCCTCTCCTGCCTCCGTGGCAGGGCTAAGGCTGTCTGACTGCTGGCTTAGGCCCGCTCCCCATGGGGAACAGGCCTAAGCTGTTAGTCAGACATCCCCTGAGGGCTCCCAGACTACGAGAGTTATTCAAGTTTTGTGCACCGGGCCTCTGGTAGTAATAATAATCACATTCAAAAGAGGTCCTTAGTAAAAAGTAAATTAGTATGTTCTGAATTAGTGAAAAGTAAATTAAAGAATATTTTAAAGAGAAGAAACTTATTTCAAGCTTGATGAATAATGTGGGTTAGCTTAGTAAATAATAATAATTATTATTTTGTTGTTAATCCTCACATGAGGATATTTTTTCCATTGTTCCTCAGAGTGGGAGGTGGGGGGAGGGAAGGAGGGAGGGAGAGAGAGAGAGAGAGAGAGAGAGAGAGAGAGAGAGAGAGAGAAACATTGATGTGAGAGAGACACATTAACTGGTTGCCTCCCACACATGCCCCTACTGGGGATAAGGAACAAACTTGCACCCAGGTACATACATGCCTTTGACTGGGAATAGAACCTGAGACTTCAGTGTGCAGGCCGAAGCTCAACACCGGCCAGGGAAGTAAATTATCTTTTTAAGAAGGAATCTTGCTCTAACCAGTTTGGCTTAGTGGATAGAGCATCGGCCTGCGGACTGAAGGGTCCCAGGTTCTATTCCGGTCAAGGGCATGTACCTTGGTTGCGGGCACATCTCCAGTAGGGGGTGTGCAGGAGGCAGCTGATCAGTGTTTCTCTCTCATTGATGTTTCTAACTCTCTAACCCTATCCCTTCCTCTCTGTAAAAAATCAATAAAATATATTTAAAAAAAGAAGAAGAAGAAGAAGAAATCTTGCCAGGCCATTTTAAAATTATTGTGGTAAAAAAAAAATACAGCATTAAACTTACCATCTCAACTATTTTTAAGTATATAGCTCTGTAGTGTTAAGTATATTCATTGTTGTACAACATATTTCTAGAACTTTTTCATCTTGCAAAACTGAAACTTTATACCCAGTAAACACTATTGCCAGACCATTTTTAATGAAAAATAGCTCATTTTAAATGAGAAATATTTATTTACATATTAACATTGAATATGTTAGTCTCTCTTATAATCATGTAAAAAATGAATTCTGTGGCAGTATTTTAGTTTTTCTCTTAATTTGGTAAACACCATAAAATTGCTGGTACTCTTTTACTTGATAGACCCCTCCTCCCTCTGTAGCACATTTTACTTAATTTCAGACTAAGTTATAGTACCAGAGATACCAGGTAAGTCTGAAATAATGGGGTTTTGCTGTTTGGATAAGAACTTTTTATAAACTACTAGAAGCCCAGCATGCGAAATTGCGCGGCCCCACCGACCCACGCCGGTCTTTGGTGTTAGGGCCACAGGCCTTTGATAATATTGATGATTCTAGCTCAACAGTTTAACTAGTGTACTTACATGGAATGAAGTTTACTGGTTCTTTTCTTTGACTTTTCTAAACATTTTTTTTCCCACTTTTTAAAAAAATCATTTTTTATTTTTCAATTACACTTGGCATACATTATTATATTAGTTTCAGGTGTACACCCTAGTGATTGGACATTACATAACTAGGTGTTCAACTAAACATTTTTTTTAAGTGTTTCTGTATGTTTCATGCAGTCTTTCCAATTCCTTCAGATTTTCCTCAAGATGTGCCTGTTTTGGGTCCCAGAATATCTTCATGTGTCTTTCATTTGCTTCTGTCTTTGTTCAGACAAGTATTTATGAGTGCCCCTTAATATGCAAATGCTATCTACAGGGTCTCTCTACAGTGATTACTGTCTCAGTTTCTAATGAGAGGAATGAACTCATATTATCCAGATTGAATAACTTTCCCCCCCAAAATTTATTGAAATATAATTGACATACAGCAGTGTGTAAGTATAAGGCACACAGCATAATGACTTAACATACATATTGTGCCACAGTAAGTTTAGTTAACATCCATAACCTCATGTAGAAACCAAAAAAAGCAACAACAAAAAACACAATCTTTTTTGTGTGATGAGAACTCTTAGGATTTACTATTTTAAGAACTTTCAGAAAAAGCATACAACCTGATGTAAAGTTCTGCATTACATCCCCAGGTCTTATTTATCTTACAAAGTGGAAGCTTGTACCTTTTGACTACCTTTATCCAATTTTCCCACTCCCTGCCTCTGGTACCCACAAATCTGATTTCTTTGAGTTTGGGTTTGTTTCTTTTTTTTTTTTCAAGGGGGGGCTGTTTTTTGTTTTTAGATTCCATATACTGGATAAGTGAGATAATACAGTATTTGTCTTTCTCTGTCAGACTTATTTCACTTAGCATAATGACCTCAAGGTCCACCCATGTAGTCATAAATGGCAGGATTTCCTTCTTTGTTATGAATGGATAATATTCCATTGAATATCAATAACTATTTATTGAAAACCTGTTACTGTATGTGAAGCCACCTTTCCTGTGTCTTAGGGCTGAAATTTTGATACTGTCCTTCTATAGCTCACTTAAGAGTTTTTGTTGTTTTTAAAATGAACATGTTAGTATGTCATCCATGTGCACACGTGCGCGTGGTCACATATGAATCAGCGTGTGGAAGGGTATTGAGGACTACTGCCCTAAGGAGTTCAGGTCTCATAGAATCCTTTGAATATCATAAAATTGAATCTGTTTAGTTTTACAAGGCTGCTATTAAGGAAAGCAGACATGTTCTTTAAGGGTAATTGGCAAAGAATAATGAGCCAGATGGATTAATCATGTATAACAATTGTTTTTTTTTTCAGTACACACAGAGATATGGCTTACATGATGGTAAGTCATAGGTAAGATGGAAAAAAATTCTTTGAAGGTTAGAGTCTGGATTTTCTTAGTCAACGTTTGTTGTTTTTTATTCCTAAAATTGTTCAAGTCCTTAAAAAAATTCCATTTCCCAATTTTGCGTGTACTTCCTCTTAAGAGTATTGAGCTCCTAAATATTTTTTCTTTTAAACTTGCCTCACTTATGTCTTCTTCAAGATTTTTTTTTTTTGAGCAGAGTTCTTCTTAATATCTTTATTCTTTTTTAAAAAAATATATTTTATTGATTTTTTACAGAGAGGAAGGGAGAGAGATAGTTAGAAACATCGATGAGCGAGAAACATCAATCAGCTGCCTCCTGCACACTCCCCACTGGGTATGTGCCCGCAACCAAGGTACATGCCCTTGACAAGAATCGAACCTGGGACCCTTGAGTCCACAGGCCGACGCTCTATCCACTGAGCCAAACCAGTTAGGGCAATATCTTTATTCTTTAAAAAAAAATTTTTTTATTGATTCCAGAGAGGAAGGGAGAGGGAGAGATAGAAACATCAATGGTGAGAGAGAATCATTGATTGGCTGCCTCTTACATGCCCCCCACTGGGATCAAGCCCAAAACCTGGTCACGTGCCCTTGGCTGGAATTGAATCTGGGACCCTTCAGTCCGCAGGCTGATGCTCTGTCCACTGAACCAAACCAGCTAGGACTATCTTTATTCTTTTTAATGCCACTTCCCCCCATCTTAATTGCTCTTATCTGGAACTTTTCCAATTCATTTTCTATTTTATGCAATTTATCAACCAGAACTATACTCAGGTTTGGGCACACAAAAGCCTTACATGAAGAGCAATGTGATGGTCTTTTTTAGTTTTTAATGCTTTTCTTCCTTTTAAGACTTCTAATATCTTGGTTTCTCCATCTGAAGCAAATTAGACTAAAGCCTTTACTAAATTTACAGGAGCTGACTCCTAGATCTTCCTTTCTAAAGAACTCTACCTTTTTCATTATAAAAGCAATATATAATTTATTATAAGAGCATTTAAGTGTCGTAGGGAAACTTTGGAAACTAAAGAAAGTAAAAAGAAACAATCTGTTTTGAGTTTTGGTATACTTCCTTATAGTCTTTTTAACCCATATAATATTTTTATATATTAGTATGCATTTTATATCTTTTCTTACACTTAATTTTAGATAAAAATTTATGCACCAGTAGCCCGGTGCACGAAATTCGTGCACATTAAAAGGGAATTAATTGTGGAAATATTTTAATATTGCTATTTGCCCTTTCTCTATAATAGAAGTGTGAGAGATGAAAGGAAATTAGTAAAATGTATATGAAAATAATATATAAATTTATCCTATCTAATAAAAGAGAAACATGGTAATTGGCGTATGACCGCTACCCTTCCCATTGGCTAGTCAGGGCAATATGCAAATTAACTGCCAGCCAAGATGGCGGCCGGCAGCCAGGCAGCTTGAAACTAACATGAGGCTTGCTTGCTTCAGTGACACAGGACTACAACGTTCCCCGCCTGCCGCTGCAGGCCTCTGAGCTGCAACTCTAAGCAACTATGTAACAAATATAGAAGCTAAACAAAACCCCAGAAACCTGTTTTAGTCTGCCGGGCTTCAGCCAGCCGGATCGCAACATTGTAAGCAAAGGCCAGAATCTGCCGGGCTTCAGCCAGCAGGATTGCAACATTGTAAGCAAAGGCCAGAAACCTACTTTCAGCAGCAGAGGCCTAAGAGCTGGAGCCAAGCCTCAAAGCTAAAGCTGGCCCAGAATTTAAAAAAAAAAGAAAAAAAGGAGCAGTTGGGAGCTTCAGTCACCCCCAGCCTGAAAACAGCCCTCAGCCCCTCACCCAGGCTGGCCAGGCACCCCAGTGGGGACCCTCACCCTGAAGGGTGTGTGACCAGCTGCAAACAGCCATCATCCCCTCACCCAGGCTGGCCAGGCACCCCAGTGGGGACCCACACCCTGAAGGATGTGTGACCAGCTGCAAACAGCCATCATCCCCTCACCCAGGCTGGCCAGGCACCCCAGTGGGGACCCCCACCCTGATCCAGGACACCCTTCAGGGCAAACCAGCTGGCATCCACCCGTGTACCAGGCCTCTACCCTATATAGTAAAAGGGTAATATGCCCCCCAGCACTGGGATCAGTGGAGCCACGAGGCCTCCCGGGACCGGGATCAGCGTGACGGGGCAGTGCCCAAACCCCCTGATCGCCCTGCAGCTCTGTGTGTGACAGGGGGCGGGGCCACAACCTCCCTATCCACCCTGCTCTGTTCGTGACAGGGGAAGGTGCCCCAACCTCCAGTTCAGCCCTGCTCTGTGCCTGATAGGGGGGAGCTCCCCAACCCTCTGATCGCCCTGCAGCTCTGTGTGTGACAGGGTGCGGCACCCCAACCCCCTGATCGGCCCTGCTCTGTGTGTGACGGTGCGGCGCCCCAACTCCCCCACACACACACACACGGGCCCTGCTCTGTGTGTGACGGGGTAGAGCCATAACCTCCCTATCGGCCCTGCCCTGAGTGTGAGAGTGGCAGCACCCCAACCCCCTGATCGGCCCTGCTCTGTGGGTGATAGAGGGTGGCGCCCCAACCCCCTGATGGGCCCTGCTCTGTGCGTGACAGGGTACAGAGCCCCAACCCCCCTGATGGGCCCTGCTCTGTGAGTGACGGGGTGGCACCGCAACCTCCCCATCGACCCTGCTCTGAGCCCGACCAGGGGCTGTGCCTAGGGATTGGGCCTGCTCTCTGCCACCCGGGAGCAGGCCTAAGCCAGCAGGTCGTTATCTCCCGAGGGGTCCCAGACTGCAAGAGGGCACAGGCCGGGCTGAGGGACCCCCCCCTTCCCCCCGAGTGCACAAATTTTTGTGCACTGGGCCTCTAGTTAATAAACAAACAGTAACAAAAGGATATAACAGCAACAGAGGCATGATATAAAAACGACAAAAACATGATATGAAAACAACAAAAATATATAAAAACAACAGTGATGCAAACAATGACTGATAAAGTGATTAAACTTATTCTAATATCTCCCTGTACACCACATTAAGAGTGAAAACACTTTCAGAGTGCTTGACTAATTTCCCTTGTGCTGAAGTATTTAGAACTTTAATGTCACATGCTCTTTGAACTCGAGAGAAAGCAACATATAACTGACCATGTGCAAAAACGGGTTCAGGTAGGAATATGCCTACTCTGTCTAGAGTTTGTCCTTGTGATTTATTAATAGTCATCACAAATGCTGGCATCACAGGAAACTGTCATCGAATTAATTTAAATGGGAGGCCAGTGTCAGATGGGAACAAATCAATTCTTGGAATCAGAACAACCTCTCCCTCTGCAGATGCTGTTAATACTTCAGCTTCGATAATGTTAGATCGTAATCTTTTGATAATAAATCTGGTACCATTACAAAGACCCCATTTACTACTGAGATTTCTCAATAGCATGATGATTGCACCCACTTTCAATTTTAACTTATGACACGGCATTCCCGAAGGAGTAATACTATTAAGAAATTTGATGGCAAAATTTTCCTTTTCAGCATCATCTGTGGAATCAATGGAATCATCACTCAAATATGTGTGAAAATCTCCATTGAGTATATCCAAAATTCCTTCATTTAATTTTTGAACGTGCTCATTTTTTTGGACAAAGAATTGCACATTTAGATGTTTTTTTAATATTATCTATAGATATACTATTTCCAAAGGTAGCTTCAATAATAGATCCATTACAAATCATTTCACAGGGGATTTCAATAATATCCATTCTTAAATGAAAACTGCTATCAAGTTTGCCATCTCCAAGTTTTACTAACTATTCACTATAAGCAGAATCCTCTGATCTCATATTTGTTTTAAGAGACAGCTTTCTGAAACATCCCCAAACATTATAGTACTTTAAATTCATTTGTACTGTGGCCGATCACATAGCATGCGGTACGCATAGCATGCAGTACGCATAGCGTGCGGTACAATACTGAGACATTGTCGAAAATCCCCTCCAAGAAGGAGAACTTTCCCACCAAATACAACATTCAAATTCATAATTTCTCTTAGTAATCTGTCTATGGCGTTTATAGCATGACTGGATGCCATGGTGCATTCATCAATAATGAGAAGTTGGGCCTTTTTAATAGTTTTAGCAACCTCACTGTTTATATCGAGTCTAGAACTTGAAGTTTCATTTAATGGAATTGGTCATTTATATTGGGAATGAAAGGTTCTTCCACCAAGAATTAAATTTACAGCAATTCCTGTAGGTGCTGTGGGTAAAACAGTACCACCACAACCTATAATATAATGTATTAAAACTTTTTAAAGATATACCTCCAGGCTCCGAGGGCCCAAACCTCGCCCTCCCAGGAAACAGCTCCCACCACGACCTCTAATATAATGTATTAAAACTTTATACAGATATGCAGGTGAATGGGATTCCTAGCTGGCAGGCCGCTGACAGCAAGCTGGCCACCTGTCGATTCCATGAGGAGTGGGGCTCCCTCCTCCCTCCTGTCAGGGTCTGGGGTGCAGGTGAATGGGGTTCCTGGCTGGCAGGCCACTGACAGCAAGCTATCCAACAGCAGATTCTGTGAGGAATGGGGCTGCCTCCTCCCTACTGTCAGGGTCTGGTTTGAAGGCCGGAACTCAGTACTTACACGCTCCGCTCTGAGGGCGGGTTCCTGCCTGAAACCTCGCCCTCAGGGGAAACAGCTGGGGAAGGGTGCAGCCTTTTCCAAGACGACCCCTGCAGGACTGACTTCCTTCTGGTTGCTAGAGCTTCTGGACGTGATGTTACACTCAGGGTTTTTGTATAAGTAGATTTTAAATGCTTTATAGAAATTATTCTTAACTGCATAGGATTTGGTGTATAAATACATTCTTAATCCACTTAACCATTAATTCCCATATTGTTGAAAATACTTTCCTGTTGTAAGTACTTTGTCATTAAAAATATATATCTTTATTGATTTCAGAGAGGAAGAGAGCGATAGTAACAACAATGATGAGAGAGAATCATTGATTGGCTGCCTCCTGCTTGCTCCGTACTGGGGATCCAGCCCCAAACCTGGGCATGTGCCATGACTGGGGATCGAACCATGACCTCCTGGTTCATAGACTGCTGCTCAACCCCGAAGCCGTGCAGGCCAGGCTCTTTCATTTTTAAAAATCTTGTCCTTTTCCATGTTGCCAGGTATTTTGTTTTTATTATCCTATTCCTGGGTACTATGATTAAATATTCATGTAAGCTACTACCCATCGTCAAACAGACATCTCTATATTTATATTTCTTTATGGTATCTAATGGCTTGGGAATTGTTAAAGAAATTTTCTCCCCCAAATTGTGTTGGTAGTATATGACACTTTCATACCTTGTGGATGCTCATTAAGTGTTATTTCTCAGGATACTTTCCCATAGTAATTGGAAGGTAACACTGATCTCAGCTATTTCTCCTTAGCCACTATTTCCTTTTATTTCGTTGTACGTGTGTGTGTGCATGCTACCTTTATTTTAATTGTATGTTGTCCTCCTGAGTGATGTCATTGAGGACAGTATCAGACTTTCAATCTTATGCACTCTGTGAGTATAGTTAATTTAATAATGCTGTTATCTTATTTTACCCAAAGTTTTAAAGAATAATGGTAGCGTACTAATAACATAATTAATAATATTAGTATTCAGCTTATTCTCAGTAAAATAGTCTATTTACAGTGACATCTAAACTTTTTGTTTTTCCTTCCATTTCCAGGTTGCCATCACGAAAGCCAAAGTGGATTTCTCCAGTGTAGTGTGCCTGCCCCCTTCCGTCATTGCTGTGAATGGGCTGGACGGAGGAGGGGCTGGCGAAAATGATGATGAACCAGTGCTGGTGTCCCTGTCCGCGGCCCCCAGCCCCCAGAGTGAAGCTGTTGCCAATGAGCTGCAGGAGCTCTCCTTGCAGCCCGAGCTGACCCTTGGCCTCCACCCTGGCAGGAATCCCAATTTGCCTCCACTTAGTGAGCGGAAGAATGGTGAGTAGACAGGGAATTATTGCATTGCCTGGTTTGACTCAGGGTCTTATTTTATTTTATTTCTCTTAAAAGTTTCTTATAATCATACTCTTTCTTGTAAAACAGAGAAATAGTAAGTTTAGGTGATCATTGTGAACCCAACATCTTCTTTCTGGGTTATTATAATTGCTTTTTAATTTGTCTTCCTACTTTTCTGCTTCTCCCTCCTCACTCCTTCCATATATTCATTAATTCAGGAAATATTTATTGAGCATCACTGTATTATAAACTGTGCTAAATTAGGGAGTGAGTTGTGTGGCTGTAATTTATTTTCATTGCTTTATAATAAATCCATTTTATGAATATACTGTAATTTGTTCATTTTACTTTTGATGGATATTTGGGTTGTTTTCATTTGGGACTATTATCAGTCATGGTCCTATGAAATTTTTGTACATGTCTTTTGGTATACTTGTTTGGATTTTTATTTGAAATATATCACTTATAGGTTAATGGGGAAAATATACACTTAAAACATTTTTAAATTTATTGAGTTTAGAGAGAGAGAGAGAAATATCTATTTGTTGTTCCACTTATTTATGCATTCAATGGTTGTTTCTTGTATGTGCCCTGACCAGGGATCGAACTCTTAACCTTGGCATATTGGGGCAATACTCTAACTAGCGGAGCTACCCGGCCAGGGGCCACATTTTAAATATTGGGAATTCCCAACCAGTTGAATCTTTCAATAAAATAGGCCTCCTTTAATATCTTTCCTTTTTAAAAAAATTCTTTTTTGTTCATCCTTACCCGAGGATATTTTTTCCATTAATTTTTAGAGAATGGAAGGGAGGGGGAGAAGCAGAGAGAGAGAAAAACATCAATATGAGAGAGACACATAGATTGGTTGCCTCCTGCCTGTGCCCGACCAGGGCTAGGGATCAAGCCTGCCACCGGGGTACGTGCCCTTGACCAGAACCGAAACCGGGACCCTTCAGTCCATGGACCTACGCTCCATCCACTGAGCAAAACCAGCTAGAGCTCCTTTAATGTCTTTCCATAGTTTTATAATTTTCTACATAAAGGCCATGCAAATACCTTAATAGGTCTTTTTTTTTTTTTTTGTAGACATTATAAAAGATATGTTTTTATAAAATATTTTGGACTGTTTGGTGCTGGGGAATTGAAATACCAAATCTTTTCAAAACTCTTGTGGCTTTTCTACACTTATGCCAGCTACTTGGCATAGACCACCCCCCTACTCTCACCCCCCATCTCCTTTCTTGCTTGTTCATGCATCACTCCTTTTGCAAAGCCTGTCCTAACTTACATTCATTGTTAAGTGTTTCTCTTTTGGTTTGTTCAGTTGCCCTTTATCATCTTACTTTATCACCCGATGTTATAATGGTAATTATCCACTCAGCAACATGAGTGACCCTTTGAAAACTGAAATCAGACATTGTTACACTCCTCTCAAAACCCGTTAGTATCTTCCTAAAGACTTATGATGAAATTATAGTTCTTACGATGAGGCACTGGTATCCTCTCTGACCTGATTTCTTACCTTTGTTCTCTAACTCACTCTACTCTGTTCCAGCCACACTTTTTATTCTTTCTTTCTTTTTTTTTTTAAACAGTGTAGTATTTTTAAAAAAATATATTTTATTGATTTTTTTACAGAGAGGAAGGGAGAGGGATAGAGACTTAGAAACATCGATCAGCTGCCTTCTGCATACCCCCACTGGGAATGTGCCCGCAACCAAGGTACATGCCCTTGACTGGAATCGAACCTGGGACCCTTGAGTCCACAGGCCGACGCTCTATCCACTGAGCCAAACCAGTCAGGGCACACTTTCTGTTTCTTGAACATATCAAGTATGCTCCTGTCGCAGGGTCTTGGTACTTGCTGTGCCTATACTGAAGTTCCTGCACAAATGTCATTTCCTCAGGGAGGCTTTCCCTGCCTATTTTATAAAACAGTGCCTCCCATTACTCTCTGTCCTGCTTTGTCTTCCAAGCACTTACTATGATGTGTGTATTTGTTTATTATCTATACCACCCCCACTTTGATAAATTTCAGAAGACCGGAAACTTTATTTTGCTCACAGGCGTATATTCAACTCCTAGCTCATAGTGGCCACCAAATAAATATTAATTGAATGAATAAATGAATGCTTTACTTGTATTTTTACATTCATAGTGGGATAAGTAATGAAAACTCAAGCAGTTTTTATTTTGGGAAATAGTGGATACTCAAGCAGTTTTTGTGTGTTCTTTTCCCATTCCTAATTTCTACTTTTTTACCCCCATATTGCATAGGCTTTAACTTAGTTATATATGTTAAGGGGAAAGAGTTAGTCCAGAGGGAAAAGCTGAACACGGAAAAAGGGAAAGGATAACTGATAGAGCAAGGTTCTTGTGGAGATAGGAGAGAATGGGATCCAAAGGTATTGGCTTTGTCTTGAGCAAGAGTGAAGACCAGCATTCTTTAGGGATAGGAGAATGGCAGTGAAGGTGATGACAGACAACAAACAACAAACTCCTATGTTTTGGGCATGGAGTGGAGAAAATTGGTGCCGACAGATGTGTTGGTCTCAGTGGAGTAGAAGGTAGCTGTTGCTGTTGGGGCAGAGGTGTTGGTGTATCTTCAGCCTTTCTTTCTCAACTCTTTGGTATATAAATCTGAATTTTTCTCCATTTTGAAAAATAACTCTCTAACCCTTGGAGTCAAGCTCCTAAAAGTAGTTTACTTTCCCACATTCTAGAGACTTCACTGCATTCTGGCTTCTGTCCCTACCTCTCTTCAGAAACTACCATTGCCAAAGCCATTAGTGTTCTTTTCATTGTAGATCAGATAGGCTCTCTTTATTCTATTGATCTCTCTGCAACTTTTGATATGGTGGCCACTTCCTCTGACCTGAAACTTTTCTTCCACTGACTTCTGTGACATTACTCTTTCCTGGCTTTTTAAGCAGTTTTTAAGCTTTGCCTTTCCAGTCACTCTCTTTTCTGCTCAGATCTTTTGCTATCTTTCTCTACCCATCTCCTTAAATTTTGTTACTTCTAGGGCTTCTTTATTTCTTATTCTATATCTTTACCTTGAATGATTTCCCCCAAAACTTTGGCTTTAACCATCATCATATGCTGTTGATTCCCATCTTATACAGAGGTGGGCATAGTAGGTTAATAATAATAATAATAAATATAATAAATAATTTCTGTATAATAAAAGCCTAGTATGCAAATTGACTGAACGGCAGAACAACCAGCTGAATGACCAGTTGCTATGACGTGCACTGACCACCAGGGGCCAGACACTCAACGCAGGAGCTGCCCTCAGCCCACAGGCCCTGACCAGTGGCAGCAGCGGTGGTGGGGAGGGGCTGGTGAGCAGGCAGCGCTAGGCCAGCCAAGGCGGGTGCCAGCGGGGGCCCCAGTTGCCCCGTAGGTCGCCCCACAGATTGGCCCTGATTGCCGGCCAGGCCTAGGGACCCTACCTGTGCACGAATCTCATGCATTGGGCCTCTAATATAAGAATAAACTCTGTTTCATTTATAACTGTAAGCTTATTTTTGCCCACCTTGTAGGTCCAGGCCAAGTTTCTCCCCTAAATTTCAGACTCATATTCTTGGCTGTCCATTGAATGCTCCACTGGCCTCAGTATTCTCAGAGTTAAACTTACTACCTCACCTGCAGTTCCTACTGAATTCTCCATTGTAGGAAACCATACCTCCATGCACCCAGATGTTCAAACCAGAGGGTTGTTTTGTTTTCTTCCTATATGAAAACGAAATATTTTGTGTTATAATCAAAGTATAAGAAAAAAGAGCCGAAACCGGTTTGGCTCAGTGGATAGAGCGTCAGCCTGCGGACTGAGAGGTCCCAGGTTCGATTCCGGTCAAGGGCATGTACCTGGGTTGCGGGCACATCCCCGTGGGGGATGTGCAGGAGGCAGCTGATCGATGTTTCTCTCTCATCGATGTTTCTAACTCTCTCTATCTCTCTCCCTTCCTCTCTATGAAAAATCAATAAAATATATATTTTAAAAAAAAAAAAAAGAAAATAAAAATTTCCTCATAATTACTCAGTTCATTGATGGCCAGTGATCAGAAATACTAATTGCTTAGCAAAAATCAAAAAGTAACTGTCAAAAATCAGATTCTGTTATATAGAGAAAATAGAAAATGTTTATTAAGTTAAGAGAATAGGAAGTTGCAGAGTAGCTATTATCTTGGTGAAACATGCATATTGTTTCAGCAACTATCAGGTGAATGTCTGGACAGGGGCAATATTACTGTCTAGTTGCAGGGCTTTTTGGGCCATAATTGGGTCTGCTGTTTGTGCACCTTGATGGTGCTTCTTCCTGTCAAAAGGGAAAGAAGGCTGGAAAATCATTATTGTATTTTACACTAAGTCTTCTTTGCATGGTTATTTGTAGGGAGGTAAAAGTAGGAGTAGAAATGGAAAATCCCTGAGACAATAGTAAAATTGGAAAGTGGGGAGTTTAGAGCAGAATGATTTCTGGAGTTAGTGGAGCTGCTTTTTTATGGATAGTGTACCATGTGTTGAAAGGGTGGAGTGAGAAATTTATTGTTTTTCTATCTTTTATATAAAAGCTTATGTTATATAGAAATTCAGTGAGTTAGCAAGGGTCCTTGCAGGTAATAGGCAGTCAAGGTCTTGATAGCTCTATCCTAAACAGAGGAGTTGGGGTCCTAATGAGAGAAGATGCCTTTGGTCTAATTGGAAAAAGTTGATAAAGTTTCAAGGTGTATTTTCAAATATTACTTTTCTGTCTTCTTCTAAGCTGAGCACTTAGGTCTAAAAGATTAATTGATCCAACTGTGGATTCTGTCTAGCCTGAGCTGGGAGAAGCCTGGAGACCTCAGTAATCATCTAACCCCATCCTCTTTGGCTCCACCTAAAGGAGTTCTGGCACACATTTAATGAATGTGCCATGCTAGAAAATTTAAGTTTCATCTTGCTTCTTCCATTAATGGTGTAGTGCTATTTAGCTGTCT